AGTAGCGTGCGCAACTGAAAGTCTGAGAGGGTGAGACAGATAGTCACATAAAACAGAACAAGAATCGACAACACGACCCTCTGCTCACTCCTCTCCTGTAAAATACAGGTCCAGCCCACATATGCTCCATCAAGGATGGTGCTACAGGCTGCAAGACATTGCACTTACAACTACAATAAGCATGTTAATGTTAATCTAATACAGCTCCCCCCCGCGGTGGTTTTGAAATGCTTCCGATTTCTGAGTTCTCAAGGTTGGCAAGTATGCTAGCTGTTTATATTAGTACCTCCAGGATATTTGCACCACCAGAAAAATGGCGTATTTATATATATATACAGTGGGGCAAACAAGTATTTAGTCAGCCACCAATTGTGCAAGTTCTCCCACTTAAAAAGATGAGAGATGCCTGTCATTTTCATCCTAGGTATACCTCAACTATGAGAGAGAAAATGAGAAAAAAAAATCCAGAAAATCACATTGTCTGATTTTTAAAGAATTTATTTGCAAATGATGGTGGAAAATAAGTATTTGATCAATAACAAAAGTTAATCTCAATACTTTGTTATATACCCTTTGTTGGCAATGACAGAGGTCAAACGTTTTCTGTAAGTCTTCACAAGGTTTGCACACACTGTTGCTTGTATTTTGGCCCATTCCTCCATGCAGATCTCCTCTAGAGCAGTGATGTTTTGGGGCTGTCGCTGGGCAACACGGACTTTCAACTCCCTCCAAAGATTTTCTATTGGGTTGAGATCTGGAGACTGGCTAGGCCACTCCAGGACCTTGAAATGCTTCTTACTAAGCCACTCCTTCGTTGCCCGGGCGGTGTGTTTGGGATCATTGTCATGCTGAAAGACCCAGCCACGTTTCATCTTCAATGCCCTTGCTCATGGAAGGAGGTTGTCACTCAAAATCTCACGATACATGGCCCCATTCATTCTTTCCTTTACACGGATCAGTCGTCCTGGTCCCTTTGCAGAAAAACAGCCCCAAAGCATGATGTTTCCACCCCCATGTTTCACAGTAGGTATGGTGTTCTTTGGATGCAACTCAGCATTCTTTCTCCTCCAAACACGTCTAGTTGAGTTTTTACCAAAAAGTTCTATTTTGGTTTCATCTGACCATATGACATTCTCCCAATCCTCTTCTGGATCATCTAAATGCTCTCTAGCAAACTTCAGACGGGCCTGGACATGTACTGGCTTAAGCAGGGGGACACGTCTGGCACTGCAGGATTTGAGTCCCTGGCGGCGTAGTGTGTTACTGATGGTAGCCTTTGTTACTTTGGTCCCAGCTCTCTGCAGGTCATTGACTAGGTCCCCCCGTGTGGTTCTGGGATTTTTGCTCACCGTTCTTGTGATCATTTTGACCCCACGGGGTGAGATCTTGCGTGGAGCCCCAGATCGAGGGAGATTATCAGTGGTCTTGTATGTCTTCCATTTTCTAATAATTGCTCCCACAGTTGATTTCTTCACACCAAGCTGCTTACCTATTGCAGATTCAGTCTTCCCAGCCCGGTGCAGGTCTACAATTTTGTTTCTGGTGTCCTTTGACAGCTCTTTGGTCTTGGCCATAGTGGAGTTTGGAGTGTGACTGTTTGAGGTTGTGGACAGGTGTATTTTATACTGATAACGAGTTAAAAGAGGTGCCATTAATACAGTTAACAAGTGGAGGACAGAGGAGGCTCTTAAAGAAGAAGTTACAGGTCTGTGAGAGCCAGAAATCTTGTTTGTTTGTAGGTGACCAAATACTTATTTTACCGAGGAATTTACCAATTAATTCATTAAAAATCCTACAATGTGATTTCCTGGATTCTTTCCCCCCATTCTGTCTCTCATAGTTGAAGTGTACCTAGGATGAAAATTACAGGTCTCTCTCATATTTTTAAGTGGGAGAACTTGCACAATTGGTGGCTGACTAAATACTTTTTTGCCCCACTGTATATGGCGCGCGTTGCATTGTGGGTAGCTCGTGACGTCACTGTGTGTGAAAGAATTGCAAACCACGCCTCGTAAAACTGAAAAGTTTTGTGAAGCTGCCATTGTATTTGCTGGCATTAGCATTATTAGCATTAGCCCCGCGCACCAACGGAGAGAGAATAACTTATGGCAACACAAAAGAAAACATGGGAGCGGTGGAGTGATGAGGAGGTGTCAGCGTTCTGGCGATTTACTCCGGGGACTTCCCTCAGGGAACTTATTCCGGTGTGAACGCGATCTGTACTTCGTTCCATGGGGGTACTAAGCACTGGCGCGTTTCCACTGCAGGCCTCGCTCGGTTTGATTAGGCCTTATTAGGCCCGGCTCACTTTAATGCTGCGCTTCCATTACAGTTTAGGAACTGGGGTAGTTACTATAGTAACGCAGTGTAGGCGGAGCCGTGACGTCATCTTCAGTGAGAGCCCCAGAAAAACAACACAGCCGTTAGCTCTTAGCACTCAGAGCTCACAGCTCTTCATATCTGTTCAGAAACTAGACAAAAGTTAAACAAGTACAAACCACAGACTGCCTGTGTCATGGCGAATACAGTCGCTGGTTTATTTATGTCTGTATAGGCCGTTGTTGTGAGTGTGGACGGTCGGAGCATGTATAATGTTAGCTTAGCCAAGCTCCATTTAGAAAACACGCATTTTAATAGGGTTTTTCGCCTGCCGTCTGTCTGCAGACATGTCAAAGCATTAATTCATGGTTTTTACTAACCGGTATCAGTATGTTGTTACTTCGGCATCATTTTGAAACGTGTATTACAATTAAATCACGGTCAAATATGTTCATCTTGTTTTAGTTGTAGCCCCCTTGCCAGCGATTCTCTCTCTAGTTTAGCATACTCAGCCCGACTCAGCCTGGTTGTTCCTGGCCCTAGAACCACGATTTTATTCTTTCACACACACATACGGGTATTGGGCCGAGGGCGACACCGTACTCCCGGTATCTGCCATTTTACCCGAGGTGCAAGCAGGCCAAGGGTTTAGCCGTACACCTTCTAGGTGTTGCTAAGCTTCCTGTACTGAATATCATAGTCTATTGCCTTAATCAATATCTAGTCAACTCTAAAATACCACATATATGCAATGGCATGATTATATTATTGTGACAAGTGGGGTATTCACCTGGTGTTTCCAGAAATTAGACGTAGATGCAGCCAAAATCGACGAAGGCCACTTTCGAGGGTCGTTTTTCCATACATCTGCAGGCAGTCTGTAAGGGCAATCCGACAACCCACACAGCTCTAGTTTACGCTGGTAACGACCTAGAGCACACCCCTCAAGTCCAGAGATGTAATCCGAAGACATGCAGCGATTTCTTCGGTCGTTAATTCAGAAAAAAAAACCTAGTGCGCTCTGCCTGGCTACGTTAGCTAGCTGTTTATATTTGCACCTCCAGGATATTTGCACCTCCAGGAAAGTTAATAACGCAAAAAAAAAATTAACGCCACTAATTATTTTAACGCAATTAACGCATGTATATTTTTTGTCCTCGGCCGCCCGGTAGTTTCAGAGTTTAAAATACCATCTACAAGCTGATGCTGACAGCTTGCGGCAGACTACACTTCCACGCTCACCGGCAGGCACCGACTGGCCATCGGGAGGACCGGGAGGTGTATGTGCGGCGCGAGCGAGAACGCGCACACCTTACGTGTATTGTTGTTGTTGTTAGCATCTGGTGCTAGCTAGCTGCGCTAACGGATATAAGGAGCTGTTTCAATGAAGACAGATGAGCGGCATTTCGCCGACAACTGCGCCGAGCACTTGACCTTATGCAGGAAGCCAGACAGTGGGACATTGTACGAAAAGTCAGCACACTCGGCACGGATAGTGCGCGCAACATAATTGCAGCGTCCAGGCAGCTCCCGGTCGAGCATATGCCTTGAGTTGCACAGAGCTCCAACGATCCATCACAGTACACACACACACACACACACACACACACACACACACACACACACACACACACACACACACACACACATTGTATGAGAGAGGTTCCAGGTTGAATTGAGGCGGATATTTGTAATGTTCAGAGGTTGTTGTGTTGAGAATATTCATGAGAATATTTGTCATTGTTCAAATGAAACAAACATTTGCATAAAGCATATTTGTCCACTCATATGATGATAAGACTATTAAAAACCCTCTAAGGTACATTTAGAACAGATACAAAATGTGCGATTAATTTGCGATTAATCGCGATTAACTATGGACAATCATGCGATTAATCGCGATTAAATATTTTTAATCGACTGACAGCCCTAATATATATATATGGCGCGTGTTGCATTGTGGGTAGCTCATGACGTCACTGTGTGTGAAAGAATGGGGCCAGAAAAACTGTGAATTAGGACCCGCTAGCCGGTACTAGGCCAAGTGGAAACGCAACCAAAAACGGGCCCTGCACGGCTCGGCACGCTTAAAGCGAGCTACCCGCTGCAGTGGAAACGCGCAATAAGTAAGGCAAAGTACTTGGTGTGAAAGCGGCTCTTGAGGGAGTGCATTGGAGGCGGGGCTTAATTGCACAATTGGCCTCAATGCGGATTTTTGCACTCGAGTCAGTTCAAAATGGGTTCATGCGCCACTGAGCAAGTTTCATAGGAAGGAACTAGGCCCCGCCTCCAATGCTGTACCCAGTTCTCTATATAGAGCCATGGTCTTGGCTCTGTCAAATGAAAGTTAAAGAAAAACAAACAGGGAATTCGGCCATTGGTGCGATTTACAACTTATAGGACCCAATTGTTAGTTCGTGGAAAGGTAAAAGCTGACGGAAGTAACATGTCCACGGTTTGGCCTCTACGAAGATTTGCTTGAAAGCCTGGCACACCTTTTGGGGGCTTGGTCGGACCTAGCTCAGCAACAAGAAGGGAAGTGGGTGTGTCTTAGCCTATTTTGATACTTTTTTCAAGTTCAAGAAACCTTTTTTGTATTTTTAGGGTAGAGGCACACAGCCATAACACAGTGTTTAGTCATCTTTATTGTTTGTGACACTATTCAATCTTTCTGTTCCCAGGAATCGAAGTCGGTGCTGAACCTGTTCACCAGGATACGATAGTGAGCAGCCGGTCAGGACTGGGTCAGGAGAAGGGTCCTGAGCTGTGGCTGAAACGCACAGTCACCACCCACACTCACAGACTAGCTCTTACAGCGCTCTCATCTCAGTGCACCACCAGCACCACAGTCCTCCTCAAACCCCCCTTTTCTACAGAGGCAGACCAACAACAACTGCCCCCCCTCACAGTGACGTCACTGATTAAAAAACGTAAGCAGTTTACTGTCAGGACATGTTGTCTGCTTTAAATAAAGTCAGTCTTGTTATCTTTTTCTGTTGTGGAAGTGATGAAATTGTTTTTATTATATATTAGCAGAAGTATACGTGTACATGATTATAAGCTATATAATGTCTCTTTTTTTTAAAAGGCTCTCCTTTGTAACAGAGAGAAGAAGAAGCCTAGCTTGGGTGTGTGTTGGGGGGGATTTCTATATTTTGATAATGTGTGAAAATAATCTACAAGCATTATGAAAGAGAAAATAAACAATAAATAAGTGAACACACACACAGCTGCTCATGCAGATGCAAAGAATGAACTGTTTATTGTTGTTTGTTACGGAGAGTGGAGATGGGACACTTTTTTACAAGAGTCTTGTAATAAAAACATGTTGCACAGAGCTCCTTTTATCCTAATAATCGTCCACTCAATCTCTGTTTTTGCTTTGGTTCAATCCAAGTATTATGGATATGTTGTCCATCGTCCCCGATCGGTCCAATTTGGCACCATTTACCAGTGAAGCAGATTCCGGATGTTTCTTCCCGAGCGCAGTGCTCCGAGCTCAGTCTATTATGGGATTATCCGGCCCCCTGCAGACCCAGACAGAGGAGAGAAAACTCCTTCACGATATCCTTAACGCGTCGCTTGTTGGTTTGCTCCCTGTAAGAAAGACAAATCAATGGATTTAGTCAAAACAACAGACTTTATTCCACTGTTTCTTGTGTCTCTTTTGCACATATATCTAGTTCCCTTGAACTATTACGCAAGAAAGGTGTCCCTAATCATGTTTCCTTTATAATTAGTTAGTCAGTTATAGGGGGTTAGTTTCTTGGTATTAGATCAAATAATATATTTGTCGGGACATACAGAGTGCCTTTTAATAATGCTTAGATACTTTTGGTATTTCCCTTCTCCCAATTCGTTACAGCTGGATGTCTCAGTTCCCCTGAGTTGATTGGAGGTGAATCAGATCACCTGTTGGCTGCTGATTAACAATTGAGAGCAGCTGGGTGCATTTCCTCTCGGCCAATCAGGTGCTTTTCAGAGGGCTTAAGAGAGGAGGAGAACTGTTCCCCCCAGGTCATTCTGATACTTCCTGATGCAGACCTCATTTCAGCAGATACTCACAGCTGGAAACTCTTTAGGCACTCTTGAGACTTCTTTGCTGTCTTCACTTTTCTGATTCAGAGATTTTAGGGCACTGAAACCTAGCTGGACTGGAAATGAAAAAACCCTGACCCTATGTTACCAGACTTGGGGCAGATTCTAGTGCCCTTGTTGTTAACTCCTGCAGCCTTTATTTTGTTTATTTTAATCACCGCTCATAAACAGCTCCCTATGATGAAAGAGGCTTTTGTGTCAAGGCACAGATATTTTCTACAAGAAAATGTGGTTGGGTACTGGTTCTGAGGCTTGTTCCTGATAAAATGATACATTGTGGAATCAGTATCACTCACAGAACTCATTTGATTAGGGTTGCTTGTCATTGTCCCTTTTTCATATTTTCCACTGAGACACCTAAATGTAGTTTTATTTGTATATGAATCAAGAGTTTGAAACTGTACCAGGTGCAGCCTCACCTCAGTAGCTGCTGGCTGAAGCTGTGCTTCTGCTCTGAGGAGACGTGTGCAGAGGGGAACCCTGGGCTCTGTAGAGTTTCCTTCAGCCACTGAGCCAGCAGAGCCGGGCAGTGTCTGTTCAGACTCAACAACACCTCGGAGAAATGCTCCGTCAGACTGCGGGAGGACTCGCCTCCTACCGCCTGAGACAGAAATAAAAACATAAGCTTCTCTAGAAGACACTATGACTAAACATCAGAGAGAACATGCATGCAGGAGCACTTTGTGTCACATCCAGTTGTCACCTGGAGTATGGTCTCTGTCAGAAGCTGTCCGTCCCTCTGCAACACTTCCCCGAGGGAGGGCATGTCCTTACAGCGAGGCAACAGCTCCGTCTGCCAGGGACACACGTTGAAATTAGATTTTTTTTTTTTTTTAAATCGCTTACAATAAAAAAGAAAACGTGCACTTTGCTTACTTACAAAGAATTGAGCGGCAGCTTTTACTGTGGGTGTCTCTGGAAACTTAAGTGTTAGAATTCCTGGGGGGGGAAAAATAGTAAAAACACTATTTATTTTTACAAATACTTCAACAAACAAGTCCCAACATCCAAGATTATGGAAAACAAAACAACAAAAAAGGCTTTTTTTCACATTTCAATTCGACAACACATTGAACTGAATCTAAAATAATCACAAAGTGCTGAAATATTTAACAAAAACATGTCGTACATTAAACAATGGCCTATACTCACCGCAGTAAAACAGCCCTTTAACATCGAGCTGCTCAGACAGGTAGAGTTCAGGCTTCCTCTTAAGAACCTAAGTGAACACAAAGTGATCAGGGGACAGGTCTGTGTGCTGCAGACGTACAGAACAAAGAACGACAACACTCAACCCACCTGAGCGTGAAGGTGCATAAATGATTCTGCGATGTCAGGATGATTCCGTGGACCTGAGGATGAGATCCAAGATGAGACAGGAGAAATATCTCTGGGATCATCAAGACATTTCTCTGTCTGTGTTTGTTACCTTGCTGAAATAAATGAAGTGTCACAGATGTCAACACCTCGATGAGGCTCCTGATGGTACAGAGGTGTTGTTCCTCTCCGGAGAATATGTGAACCATCTACAAAAAGAGAAAGAAAATAAGATTTGATTTCCAAAGAATTTGAATGTTAGGTATCAATAGGGACACATTCCTGGCCGTAGTCAGAGGTCCTATTATCCCTTTGGGGGGGGGTTCCCTTTCCTGTAGTGTGTTCTATAGGTTTTATGTTTATGGTCTACAAAGGCTTGAATCCCAAAGTCTCACATCACAACAGAGCCAGCCAGCTAACCAATCAGAGCAGACTGGGCTCTGGTTTCAGACAGAGGGTGAAAAGAGGAGCTTTTTGAACATTAAAGTATGTAAACATGTCACAGTAGAGACACTGAATACAAATATGAACCTGAAAATGAGCATAAAATGTCCTCTTAAAGAGTTATGCAACAGGGTTAGAGTCAGAATTAGAGTTTTGAGGGATCATGCTTTAACTCAGGCCCTGATCTGTGGAGGCGTACCTGCCGGGCAAGGTCCAGAGCTGAGGATTGTGGGTAGGCGCTGTAGATCTGCCCCAGCATCTCGCTCAGATGAGCCACCATCGGCCCAAAATCATGTAGGAGAGTTCGGACCGACTTATCGAAGACCCCACACACTGCCTGCAGAGGGAGGGAGCTGTGAGTCATGCACATCATACATGCTCAGACTCACACAACACATCACATACATACATATTTATGCAAGCAGTACAAAAACTCCTACCTCTACTACCTCTGAGTCATCGAGCCACTTGCTGAGGATGGTTTGGATCAATGTGAACACTTGCTGCAGAACAACAACTACCTAAAAACAACATTTGATAAGATTTTATTTTAATATTTCACATCAATTAACACTTTATACTTATATCACCTTTCAAAGTGCGTACAGTTTAAAATGCTTCACAGACGACTGAAAAGACAGAAATCAGAAGACAGAACAAGCAGAAAGGCAACACTAAACAAATAAGACCAATGCTGGAATGCATGTGATACAATTGAATTCCAAGCTATACTAACCAACAAAAACAATATGGAATAAAGAAAATAGATGAAGTAATAAACCATAACATTGAATGAAATGATACAGCATAAATACAATTTAAAATGTCCATAAACCATTCTTAGTTAAAAGCCTGAATTGGTAGGTTTAATGTTTATTTTGAGACTGTTCCGGAAGCTCTGATCATAAGAGCAAAAGCTTGCTCACAAGTAGATCTTTATGTTGGTTTTTATTTTGATACATTCTTGACATGTCTGCGATATTGAGGGTTGTTTCAACAAAGCACCATTTGGAAACATTGAAATACTGTAGTTTAAGATGATGGAGGTAGTGGTACATGAACTCACTGGGTTGGGGGTGCCCTGAGGGGCGGAGGGTCTCTGGCTGGAGGCGGACTCTAAGCTGTCTGAGTGTCTGATGTCCAGAGTGGTGAAGAGGCTTGACAGCATCCCCAGGATGTGGACGATAGCCTGTTTGTTAGTGGGGTCCGGCTGTGCAGGGAGACAGAGTGGGTGGGTCAGATATTACACCTTGTGATGATGACAGTGAACATGTATAGCTGTTGTGAGAGCAAAGACAACTCCATTGATGTAAAGTTGTGTCAAACAGCCACTGCATTAGGTTAGCGTTAAGTATATACCAAATACAGCACGATATTGCACTGATCTTTGGAGTACTTAATACAAGGGAGGTATAACTTATCACCGAACATATTTAAACTCAATCATCTATACTTTGGTAATAGTGTACTTTACAGTAGTACTTAGTAGTACTAGTGATGCCTAATAGTCCTGTTTTAGATCGAACTCATCATTTAAGTGGTATTGCTTATTTTTAAACTTATTGACAGTAAAGTACTACTAGAGGAAATCTATGTATTGCAATATATCATATTATTACCTAAAATATATGTTGTACTTTTGCAGAAAATCTTCCAAGGTGCAGTCAGCTGTTTTTTTTGTAGGAGCTTGGCCTGTGAACCCGAGGGTCACTGGTTCAAGTCCCCGCATGGACCAAGAAAATAAAATACATTTTAAACGTGCTTTGGACTGGTAGCTGGAGAGGTGCCAGTTCAACTCCTGGGTCCTGCCGAGGTGCCCTTGAGCAAGGCATCACACCTCAAAGCTGCATCAGGGTGCCAGACTATGGCAGCCCCTCTGCTTTGACACCTCTCAGTTCATGTGTGTGTTTGTGTGTATGGAAAACAACACAGTGTTGGATCTTCTGAAGGACATGCATCAGTTTCTTCATACCTCCTGCCGGGCCAGTGTGTCCAGCCGCTGGACGTGAGGGGTGATGAGAGAGTGAAGTCTGCCCAGAATCTCGTCTACAGGCAGGGCGGACAGGAGGAAACCCAGAGCCTGCATCAGCCACATGCACTGGCTGCTCTGCACACACACACACACACACACACACACACACACACACACACACACACACACACACACACACACACACACACACACACACACACACACACACACACACACACACACACACACACATACACGCACGCACACACACACACACACACACACACACACACACACACACACACACACACACACACACATGAAGTCCTCAGAGAGACGCTTAGCTTTACATTTGTGTTGACAAGATTACAAATGACTGCAAATGTTGAAGCCTGTTTACTCACCTTATGGATTTCTTTTA